GTAAAGATTTATGCCACGTATATATAAACTTTACTATAACGAGAATATTCGGTATAGTAAAGATTCGATATAGTCAAGAAAAACCCCCGTCCCGTCGACTTGACTATATCGAGTCTTGACTGTAGTGAAGAAAAACCTCGACTTTACTATATCGAGTCCTGACTGTAATAATACACCGATATTAATATAACCAATAGCAAAGATTCATTTGTTACACAATATCGGTATTAAACACATTCTTTGCACAATGTCCCAACACGCAGAAGTGAACACATTCTCAAGTGCTATCGGTTTTTCGAGCTTTGACTTGTAATATTAATATCGATCTAGTTGAAATATTAATATCGATCAATTTGTGAATTGCATGCTCGTCTATTTTTATCACATGACAGATCAAATCCAAATAAAACGAGTTGTCAGACGTGTGACTATAAACAAAGGAAGTTCGAGTGCTGGAGTAAATCGCGAGAAGGACATTTCAGTGGACGATCGGCTGAGATTACCCGTCACGTCTGACGGATGATCGGATTGATAAAGTGCTTTTCTTGCCGAAGTCAGCAGATCTGGATAAATAAATATGCATCTATCATCTAGCGAAACTCATTTACATTACCTTCAAACCACGTGAGAGAACTTTTATGGTAATGTAGAATGCGTAGTAGCATTTGTGCGTGGGCACGGGCCAGTAACATTAATAATGCCGGAGTTATTATATATTGGCGGGTTCCCTAACATTATATCGCTGATTTCAATTTTCATTTTGTCTGGCAGAAGGACAAGTTAGTAACATTCGAGTACTTGCGGCTCGGGCTTCACGATGCTGCCTAAAATAAAAACTTGGACAGAACCCGTGGGTCGCTTAGCGGCGTCCCTTTGGGCCAAAGTCCCTACTTTTAACAATACTGCGCCAAAAGTGCGCGCAAATAACCTGGGTCAAGTTAGTAACATACAACATCAGTTAGTAGCATTCCAACAATCTTTTAAACCACACAAAAGTGGTCAGCAAGTTCGCGAAGACAATAAACTTTTCGAGTTGATCAAGAAGGCTTTTCCCATTGCAAACTCTGTCAATCCATTATATAAACATGCTTATATTCCAATCGAGAGGCTTAGCCTCTTTCAGAAACATCCCGGCAATACTTTGCTTACTAGCGCAGTATACATGCGACACTGTAGCATGAGAGATGCCTTCAGATATTCAATCAGACGTAACTTTACCTGTGGTGCTAAAGCCATAAACAATGCTGCGACTGTCAATGGGAGCCTCTCGCAATTCTACGCTAAACCTTTCGCTGCCCTTCCCAATAAACTTGGTACTCGATGGATGGAGAAACAGGATATGAAGGATCGGATTATGCAGTACGAAGAATTCGAAAAGAAAGCAACCAAGAGTTCTGTGGAAGCTTCCAAGAAGACTGCTAGTTTTGATACGTTCAATCTGAGGAACGTTGTACCGTTTGGAACGTCTGTTGTCAAGGAATTGCCAGCTTGTGAAAAGGCAAACGAGGACGTTGAATCAGAGTTTGATGACAGCCTAGTTGTTTATCAAGAATCTTTCGATGACTCTCCAGTTTTGGTAACCTTAACACAGATTCAAATGTCAATTAAACTTTGTCAATTGGATGTTGAGTCGCTCGTGAGTGAATCTATTGATTCTATGATCACGATCATGAACAACCCGATAAACAATGAAACGCGTAATATACCATTGGACTCTGCTTTCGTTCGTAATCTCAACGACATTTTTCAAACGAGATACAACCATATTCTGAACGCATTGACTATTCTGAGGTTATTGCTCGGACATGGGAAGTTCCAAGTCAGAATTATGAATGGAGAATTGCGAGTACTGTTTCCGGTTGGCATGAGCAGAGATGAAGTCGAGCATATGCTGAGACGTTTGGCTATTGATATTCATAGTCCGACTTTTGTTCTTGTTGAAGAGCAAGTGGAGCAAGTAGTGTCCACTGATGTGGATGGGTTGTCTGACATTTTGTCTAGATTGGAATCTGTCATGGGGTCATCTTTCGCAAGCGAAAATTTCAACGTGTTTACTATTAGTCCTCCAGATTTTGCCGATAGTACCTCAGTCGATGAATATGATGAAGTCGAGCTCTCTTCGAGTCGCCAAACGGTTCTTCTGAACGACGGATACCACCCCAGCAAGCCAAAGGGTGTGTCACCTGTGGTTGACTTTCTGAATGAACTTGATCATTTGACTAATAATCGTAGTATCAGGTGGCCCAACAAGAGCTTCGACGTGGGTAAATTTTCTAGGTATTAGAATATGACCTCGGCAAGATGACCGAATATGAAATGATTAATAGCTTATGCGTTATGCGATTGGTGTAAGTTGATGTTTGTGGTGCGTTGAGTTGGGACTTAATTCAAGCAAGACATTCAAAAGTTAAGAGACAGTGGCCACTTGCTAAAGTGATTGCTGTTTATAATTCGTTTATGCCGTTGACGGCTAACTAAGAATTTCAATTCATACACGTCACCAACGTGAGTGTAATTATGATAATAAATTCAATTGGATAACAAAAGCAATTATTTAAATGTATTGGATTAAAACAAGTAAATTTATAAAAATGTATAATTGGGATGGATTTTCGTCTCGTAATAAATTGTCTTTATAATCCAGTGCTCTGTTTCCTGTTTTTGTGTTCTAGTCGTCTCATTATATCGTGTCTTTCTGATGAGCTTGATATGATGTTAAATTTGTCCCATGGTTGTTCTTCCTCGGTCTGAATCTGCTTTTCGGCCCTGATTTTAACAACGTTTGGATAGACAAATTGTTTGTCATATTCGTAGGCAACTTCTTCGTACAATGCTTTCCTGTCACGAGTATAACCGTTATACAAATGAACGAGAAAACATAACTAGAAAAAATGTCAGTATTAGTATAAACACTAAATATAAAATATTCAACGCTGTTATTAATATACCTGTAAACAAGCTGATGCCGCCAACGGTATCATAAAATGATAATTGTCTTCGTTCACGCCGTACAAAACGAAAGACTGCACAGGAGAAAATAACCTAATCATTGATCATTATCGTAAACTGTTAGAAACTTGTTTTCAAAACGCGCTTCCACTTTCAAGTCGTGTCAATGTAAATACATGAACAGATTCCAGTTAAATTGCCAAGGATTCCAAATCCTCAATTCCCATACAACATCTTCTTCTTCTTCCTCATGTGACTTCTTTATTCTCAACTTGTTCATTGCAACGCGTACACATTCCTTTACTCCTCTGGCAAACATAACATCCCTGTCTACAAGATAAGCATGTGATGACTGTGGAGGAGACTAATATTACTCTTACGTTAATAGGACGATTATTAACAAACATAGTAGAAAGTATAAAGAACTACTCACGTTCTTATCATGTAAGAACATTCGATACGATTTTGTAGGTAAAACCACAAGCACAGCATTTAAAAGACTTATAGCAACTAGCGCCATTTCTGCCAGAGTTAACTATCAAATATTGATTAGTATTAGCATCGCGTACCGGATATCAATAATTTCGACACAGAATGCGTACCCATGAAGAAAGCGTAGTCCGCTGATACTCTTTTTTCTGATAATGTGGTGATATAGAATACTCAAAGCTATGCAAATACTTTATCAGCAAAAATGCAGAATTCAGCATTCCCGCAGCCATGCAACTGTTACAGTGTAAAGATAAATGTTATTAATAAATCGATCTTTCGTGTTATTCTCTAACGACTTTATTATTCTCGAGCACCTCAATTTGGTAGAGAGTTTCACCCATGCCATGCCCTCATAGTCCTCTGAGAACGAAGTAGCCCAGTCTGCGGGTGAGTCGATTACATTTGACCATGTGGAACCTCGTCTATCCATTCCAGGATGTAAAGTACTTTCGTATGGATGCTCATCCATCGTACTGACAAGAATTCAAAGCGATAATTAGTGCAAAGGAACGCAAACAAAATTTATTTATGCTTTTAAAGAAATGTTTACTTCTAGTCGCGTGCGCGTCAACTGCGTCACGCTTAGGAGTTGTGTCACAACTTGCGGTTTATTTGTTTATCATCTACAATATATCATTATTAAATGTTGAAATGCGCCTTTCCTATTGTTACTATTACGTAATTTTTCCTTTGACATTGAGATCATTTGAAGATGTTCAAGAATTTTTATTTATTTTTTTTCACTATGTTGTGCGCAGTACGCCTTAAAAAATATATATATATGAGAAAGCCAAAACAGAGTGCCATTGATTTTATTTACAAATGATATGCTCATTTTCTTGCCAGTCACGGTATAAATATTATACATTCGCTTACTCATTCCCATTACTCACCACATAGTCCTTCGAAATACATCACCCACATTACCATACTTATTCAGGAGTACCGATGGTGGACTGTGTATCATCAGAAGAGATTGATTCAGTATCAGCTGTGTCTGTTGTCTGTATTTCGGGACAATCAGTCTGAAAATCTTCGGTCTGACATTGACGTGATACATTATGCTTGATTATACGCGGATATACGAATTTATAATTGTATTCGTATGACACTTCCTCAAAAACTATTTGTTTGTCTTGAAGATGGTTAATATATGTGTTAATTAAGACGTACACCTGCAGAGACAAAAAAATGATAAAGCATAGAGCATATGAGCAAAGAGTATATATAGACGCGTATCGTAAATGATCCGTTCGATCGATTCACTGCGAGCGACAACGGTAAGTTGCTGCGTGACAATTAACCGTATCTGCCTGATGTCATTACCTGCATACAGACTACTGCCGCCACTATCAAATAGTACTGATAATTATCTTTGTCTATCCCGTGAAGAACAAGAGCTTGCACTGGAGAGAAGAATCTGAGTAATGTGGGTCAAGTGAGTCACTTCAATCTCACAACTATTCTAAGGATCAATCAGCGTAATTAATTACATAAATAGATTCAGCGTGAATGAAGACGGATTCCACATGCTTAATTCCCATACGGCATCCTCGCTGATGTGTCGATGTGCTGACTTAAAAACGTATCGCATGGCCAATGCTCTGTATTTGAATAGGGTGAAACAGAGTCGTAATCGTAAAGCAAAAGAGGGTCGGTATGATAGCAAGAGACTCTTACAGACAAGCTCCTAGTCCAGAGTGAGTCCAGTCTGGATTTACTTGGTTCTTATCGACAAGTCGAACGTTTTGGGATATTGGTTGAGACTGAGGTGATATTTTAATTAACGATAGATCAGCTATCGGACAATCAGTTCGAGGAATAAGTAACTCCCCCTCCCCCAGATTGACTACTTGCAATTGTCAGTATCTATAAAAGCTTGGTACTCACGTCTTTGTCATGGTTAAACATTCGATATGTCTTCGTTGCCATAAATACAGCAAGCGCATTGATGCAGCTTATCGCTATGAGTCCAGCTTCTGTGAACCATAACTAGCGAAATGGGACATTTCATCAACAAACCGTCTCCAAACAAACTAAACAGTTTTTTCCTATTCATGTTATCCACCTACCAAGCCGTCATCGAATCTCCCCATTCCAGTTTGATCAGAACAATACGCGAATTTTATTGCAATAAGAGCGCTATTTAACATACCAGCTGTTATCCAACTAACACAATAATAAATTACATTATCGCGGTTAGTAAAATAATTTGGCCTCGCTCTGTAGATCGATTTCCCCAAGTGTAACAAGCTTGTTCAATAGCTCGCCCACTTTCTATTCCCTAATCATCACAATCGCCCTTGCTCACCTCATTTTCAATGACAAATCATCCCATTCAACCCCTTCATAATCTTCCAAAGTGTTTATCAGCCACTCTGTAGGAGCATTCATCAATCTCGACCACATATTTTGTTCATTGTAAACGGGAGGACTGTCGAGCTGGCCAAACACATCTGTCATTGTTCTAATCTACCCCCTATATATTTATATATTTATATCTATGTATCTATGTATCTATTAGACGCCTCACGAAGCGCGAGTTTTCGGGTATACGTCGTGCACAAGGAGAAGTAACTGTCAAGTAAACTTTGGTTACTGTCCTCGTATATGGAGAGGGTTGCAGTAGCGGTAAACAAAGTTGGCCTGTTGATTTACAGGTTTGTTATAATGATAAACAAGATATGTACAAATAAGGAATGATTGAATCTTCTCATTCATATGCCAAAGAAATGAAAATCTATCCAATCCCCCGCATGTAATTGACGATCATAGCGAGCGATCAGCGTGCCAACACCATTTTTAGTAAAAAGTAGCTTTAATTACACCTGCCAAAATTATTTCCGGCAAGTGTCTAGTCTCATTTGTTCAGTTGTCACGGTATCAAAATATACTTTTATTGGAATAAATCTCTTCGATAGCAAACATGTTAGTTAATTGATTCAGCAAACAATCAGCAGTATTAGTATTATATTTACTGTAGACTTCAGTGAGAAAGACTTAATGTGTTTGCAGTTAGTATTAGAGACGCTTGTTAGGAAGACGTATTATTGTGCTAGGCTGCCACAAGGCAGTTGTTTTGTATAAACACGGTGACGGCATTGACGTGAATATTGATAAGAATTACTCAATATTATTGGAAAATATTAGCATGCACGTCATTGAAGAGATGCGTACTCAATACTATTATATACAATTTGTATGCGAGCTTGCTACACTTCGAGTGCAATAACGACTGTTTTTACATTTAATCTACTCGATAATGTTATGTAATATCGATATACTTGTAAACGAGATACATTAGAAACTACCAAAATAAAATTACGCGGTGTAAATTTAAACCGTTTTTGATTTCTGTTCTTTGTCATCATACACATTGAGCGCGAAAATATCATTAACATTATTGATATATAGAGTTATAAAATATCTAATGGTTTGTAGAGTCAAATAAAGCTCTGAATAGGTTTACACGTAATACTTTGCTTCACCAATACCTTTGAGTAGCCAAAAAATTAATTACAAAGTTACATCAATACTATTATTATGGCAGGTTATAAATAGCGATTGACTGACTATTCACTTTAGTTCAACATAAAGGGTAAAAAAAAGTTCCAACAGATTATTAAGATTGCAAACTATTTTCTAAGGCTAATTTTTCCTTAGTTAGTTTATCGAAATCTCGGTAGTAGGTAATTGTTCCTGTTTGTGTTTTAAATGTTCGATTTCTAACTATCAGAACTTCAATGGCATAATGAAAACGGCTTTGCGGCGGTGGAATAATGTCATATAAATTTTATAGATTGAATAAAATGGTCAAAAATACACTTTTATTGGCACTTGCTAGAGTGATTAGCGGGTTTTTGTTCAATCGTTTGGTCAAATTAGATCAAGTTTATAGCATCGAAAACTTGATTAACCACTCGAACAATCTTAACACGAATGCTTGGCTTGGCACAATTTTTAAAATTCTGACGTGTGCTATAAAGTATACACCGTAAATATATGTAAGAGCAATTTCTAGACCGCTTTTTTCATTATTCTATCGCATCATTAACATTGCAAAATACGAAACAATTTTCTGACAGAATTTGCAACCCGCGATTGTATATTTCGTATTAAGTAGCAAAGGAAAAATGCGTCATATTTACAATGCCATCAATAAAAGCATTAAACATGTTCCAGAAGAAAATAACGTCTTTCTCTCGGCAGTTGTAAAGAAAGTCGAAAAATGGCTGATATCTCACAAATTTATAAATAAAGCCTGTTTTCTAATATTCAAGAATAAATACTGTTTTTTATTTTGACATGCTAATACACTGTAGTGTTATTGACAAAAAACCAACAACTGATGGAGGCTCAAACAAAATCAATAACTTTACTGTTTATTTTAATAACTCGAGTTATGCAAAAAGATACCCACAGCTTACAAATAATAAGTATTTAATCCACAACTTGTCAAGCTGTAGTGGCAATTAAGATCAGTCAAATTTCTACTACACAAAAGATTTATTCGGATTGACAACCATCACCTAACTGGTTTCTCACAAGTATCTCCCGTTTCGAAAAACCCTGGAAAGGAGTGGGACGAAATAGTACAACTAGTTTGTTTAGGAAAAACTTCTACTTGTTTCTGTTGCTCTTCCTGAATCTGAAAATCTACTAATTCATAAACCTCGGAAGCAGACTTATTCTCAGTAATTGTTCTTCTCTGAAAAGTTTCTTTATCATTCTCACCATTTAGAGTACAATCCATTTCATGACTGTCTTGGACGATAATTGCTGGAATACAATATTATAGTCGTTCCTTTTTATCATAAGCACCATCTATATAGTCACGACCCTCGCGATTATAATTGTTGTAAGTGATCATTGATTATTTCATTATTTCGCTATAATGTTCGTTCGGTCCACAATACCAAGATAGTCATTCGGATATTATGACTTACGCTTTATACTTACGGAATAGCGTTTGAAGGTTCAGTTCATGCACCCATGACGCTCGCATCTACAAACGGGAAACATTTCACTTTTTTGAATTTGGGACATAACCATGTAACGTTGCATCAAAGACATGAATGAACCATTCCATGCCAAAGAGCATTGTCGATTTTGATAATTACTCGTGCGCATATGATGTTGTATTCGTCGTTACATAGCCATGATCATTGGGTGTCGAAGAAAAGTATTTGTGTATAGATTTTGAGAATTACACCATATCAATATCTGTATAACCTTATCTGCGATCATAGATGGGCGAGGTAATTATTTTAAAGCGTAAATAACTTCTACACTAGCGAGTTCAACGGACACGATTGAGTGGGCGATCACCATACTTATTGGCTGATCGCGTAGTATTGGCGCGAAGGTAAATAGTGATAATCTGGATCGTTTAACTCTTTACTATCTCAATAATAATAATACTAGCTGCTTTTCGCGCAATATCAGTGCGAGTGTAGACATTCTCCGTGGAACCCTTCAGAGCATGTTTGGGACGCAATATTCACCATCTTCTCATGGTCTCATGATCTGGGGTTTTTCGTAACATTAATATATGACATCTTAATTAATGGGCTACACCGCCCTCTCTCGCCCTCATGCAACCAGTATTCAAAATACTTGCACGTATATAGTTAAGTGCACATTCTGCCATACAATCGATGCGTAAAAGGTCATTATACCAATGAAATCATAATAGATGAACAAAAATCAATGCCTCTGCCCATTTGCCAAAAAGGTAGTTGAACAAGCCGGATCATGCAGAGATGAGGAAACCATAACTGCCTAAATCATCATCACTCGTAATGATTTATACAGTCCAAGGTTACATTAAACCAAAAAAAAAAGATTAATCTTCTTTCACATGCAAAGCATTGTTTACCGTCTAAAACATTAACGCGCCCTCGCAGAGAAAGACTATCCATAAAAAGAAATACTAAAAAAATTTTTTGCTTCTTCCTATAAGATTCTCCAATGAAACAACTCTTTCAATTCGGGAGCTTTACCACCAGCAAGATTTCCTGTTCGGTATTTCGTACACAAAGAACAATAAAAGTACCCTGAGGGAACTATCGAAAGAGTTTTTCTACATGTTTGCTATGTGGGAAAAGGAAGTAGAGACTTTCTTTGAACAAGCTCCCCAAAAAAGCTGTATCAATTCCCCTCTCAATCATACGCCACCAAAACTGAAACGGGACCCAGCGTTCCATAAAAAACGTCGGCCGAACTTCTCAGATGACAGTGCAATAGGAGACTTTTGGAACAGCATTGAACCCGTCATTTTACCGAAAAATGCGCTATCTAGAGGAGTCAGCTTTCTCGAGTTTCGTCAACCCGCTCACCTCGACTTCTTTTGGGAGCAGTATGGTGACATTTTGGTCACTCCATATAAAAACGTAACGAAACCACGTAGAACCGGGCCGATGCGTGTTGTTAAATTCAATAACTCACCAGAAGTCAGATATTATCGCAAGGATGAAGCGCCAATTCGGATTGGTGAATACCATGGATGGGATTTAAAGGTTCTTTTGATGGCCGCTTGGATTGTTTTCTGGGCCGTGATTATTGAGCTGTTGTACAAAAAAGCAAAGTTCGGGATTTTCTTTTTTAACTAGACAAGGTTTTGGATTGGACACTAAAGTAAAGTAGAAACGTTTTGTCATTTTCTTTGGGATGGTTTTTTAAAGCTTTTTTCTCTCTTTAACCGTTTTCTTTTTGTATATAGTATTAGACATCAGGGATAATTTAAGTTATATATAATTCAAGCAATTAGTTTATTTCATTAAAAAAATGAACTTTTATCAATTATAGATGTTTTTTTTTTATCTCACTTTGCAATTCTAAAATGGTTTCTAAGTTCCAATTCATTATTATCGAAGTTTCATGAATACGAGATAGCATGCCTGTACAAAAGAAACCATTAACAAATATACAGATACAAGTGTCAAATTATTGATTCACCGAAAACTTACATGCACAATTGGCAACTCGGGAACGTTTTCTTCATCCAGAACACACTTTTCCTCGGAATACTCTTCATATGATGTAATCTTCCGCCTATCTTTGGCATATCCCTCGGGAACAGTAATGACTAACTCTTTTAATGGCATCTTATCTTCCCCAACCACAGCCTTCACATCTTCCAACACTAACAATCCCAATGGCCATAATTTATTATCTCTTGTACGCACGTCTTGAGTACCTATTATAAGGAATCCAGACGGAGGAAGTTTCTCGTATGATTCACGAGCAAGATGCATAGTCGCCAAGCGATAGTCTTTTATGTCATGATTGATGAGAACAGAGTTGGGGATGTGAGGAATGACAATAAGTGCTATCGGTGTCGGTGGTGGGAGTGCTTCGAGAGAAAGTAGTTTTTCGACGTGAGAAAGATCATCTGACTCTTCACTTAGATCTGATATTAAACCCTGTGATTGAAAAGGATATTTTAGTGTTAATACATTTATGAGAATTGCAGATAGGATCGGAACTACCAATGAGAGAAGCATTTTTTGATTTTCTTGTATTCTTTTCAGGCGTGCTCGCTCGTATTCCGGAATGTTCTCGTCTTCAATAATCATTGGCACTATGTGAAAACCGGGATGCGTCAATAATCAAAAAAGTCGCCTTCAACGGTCTTTAGTACTTTATGTCTTGGTATCCTACCGATTTCCTGTATGATGCTTGTTTGGCCGTTATCATTTGTTGGTTGCTGGTAAGGTAAAACCAGTTAAATTAATGAAATCGCCTGCAATTACAACTCTGTGTCAAATTGTCCTTACCTCTATATTTTTAAATTCTATTTTGATTTCTTCCCAATTGGCCGAATCTCTGCCAAAACGTTCTACCATTCTCGACGTGCAGAGAAGCACAAAATCATGTTTAGCTGTAGGTTTGAACGTCCACGTTGTTCCCATTACTACACTCTTTCGCGCAATGGGTAAAGAGGGTATTTCTCGTACGGTCCTCGAGAAGTTGACAACTCCCAATACTCTAGAGTAATCCATGCTTGCTAAAAAGATTTTAAAATATTAACATTCCGAATAAGAGAATTCGTGCAAGTAGACATATCGGTAATAAAACCATACTTGAGTTTAATAGCATCCTATCATTACTCTCCCGGTCGACCTTTTTCAAAGTAGCAACGAATTCATGCGTAAACATCAAAAAGTCATATTGTGTACACAGGTACGTCCCAAGTCCAAAGGCAGAACAGTATCTTTGGCGCTTCACCACCTAAGAAGATAATAGTCGATAGGGAAATTATCATTACAGTTTCGTCGCTTGCTTCAAATTAGGTATAACCTGAAACAATAAATACCAATTCTTCGAGGAGAAAACCTCGATTTATATATTCGCGAATCAATTGAAAGCTAACTGGAATATAGAAGCATTGCTCGCGATTATCGCCGATTCCTAGTGTAATTCTACGGCCTGGCTTTAATAGCCTGGCGCAAATATATGTACATCATATGAGCTCGATCGTATGTCAATAATAATGACAACTGACAACAATTATTTCATATGCATACCTCCAAGACTCGTCAACTACCTTTTGCATTTCGAGGTTGAAATCTTTCGAATTAGCAAATCTCGACAGATCTCCATCAATATGGGTTGAATATTCAACACTAGGATGATCAAAACGAAAGTGTAAATATGTCGTAATGTCGACTACACAAATCTTTGTTGTTTTTTTCGCTTACCAGTTCTTGTATGGAGGATGACTCAATACGTGATCAAAGCTCTCATCTTCAAATAGACTGCCCCTCAATTCGCGAGAGTCACTCTGTACGATAATTGGTCGATGCTCAGCGGTGATCCCCTTTCCGGGATGTATTGCAAAAGAACAATTACGTTGTGACAACGCAACAGCAGCCGGATTTATATCAATTCCAATACACCGTCTGGATAGTAAAAAGCATTCGATAGCATCCGTCCCACGACCGAGGAAATTTGACAGTATTCTATCGTTCTTTCGAGTATAACGCTGTAACGCTCGACGTACAGTCTGTGGAAGCCATGTACCATGGTAATCCGTTCCACTATGTGTGGCCCACCGCGGGGCTCGTCCGGGAATGTCAAAATACGATGAATCAAAGGGAAGAGAGAATAATTGATTTTCTAATGGTTCATAGTTGTCTAAATAGCGAGCTTGTGATTTCGAGTTGTCAAATTTACTGGCGGCTACTGATGTACGTGTAAGGTATGGTGCATGGATATAATCTTCGAAAGAGGTCACATATTCAGTACCCAATTGAGAATCAGAGGCAGAGTTATTTACAAGGGCTACTTCAAAGCAATCCTCGCACATTAAAACTCCTTCATAACCTAGTAAAGATAAAAAAGTCGTAAGATATATGAAGATCAACCACAATAAATTATTCGAATATCTACCTTTGCGCCATCGGGAAGATTCTTCCGACCAACAATATGAACAATGAATACGTTCTTTTTTCTGCGGAAACTGTTTTGGTTTTTTGCGCATTCCTGTTACGGAAACAGTATATTAGTCAACACGATCACAATGGCCTATTAAACTATTCGCAAGTACCTGTAGCCCGTGCTTTCTGGTTGGCAACCGCGATTTTTGCTTGCCTGGTTATTCTCTCATCTTTAATCTTCTGTAATGCTATTATTTACGTCTTTAATTTTACAAAGTCAATGCGATCTTTGAAATAAAAGCAGCCGATTGACTTACATATTTCTTCAAACGATTCCTTGGCATGCTCGTGTTCAGGAAACTGGCCAGTATAACACTATTCAATAACAATTAATGTGAGCAGGATGAATTTTGCATCGAGTTCTTACTCGCTTCAAGTAAAATTAACCTTGGGACATAAATCGAAAGAATTAAAAAAGCGTGTGCTGCAAGGCTTGCACGTCCACCATTTGTCTGTATCCATTTCTTGTGCACATACGTCACATCGAAAAAGCTCGTTATATTCATCTAAGGTTCATGTTAAAAATACGTACGTTATATAACAAGCTTAACGCGCACATACCAGATAATTTCACTTAATATATACCTCTCTTGTCGTAGAATGCTTCATGCGTTGGGCAATAGAAAATAACGCCCATCTCAAAATGTTCAAGTGGCTTATCCGTACATGGAAGATGGAAACTCCTAGTGCATTTGGGCTCAAAACAACCTATAGTTGCGCCCCTTTCTTTACATTTGCTACATTTCTGCACAAGTTGTTAATTTTTGTAAGCATGCGTCTCGTTAATATAAACAGGTGACGTATGATCATTCTGGGGACAAAATAAATATACATACCATTCCTCTTCCACGCCGCCAAGCAGTAGTCACGTTGTACCATATATTATCTTTTGACTGGAACACCTCTGGAGAGTACTTGGCACACGCGTAATGGCTCCAGAAAATCTTCTTCCGCTCACCGTGGCGCGTAGCCGCACATGAGATAAAGGGATATGGACCAATAAATCCACCAAGATGATTGTCATCGTCGTCATTACAAAACCCACATATTCTTCTTGATTTCCACGCCTTCAAGTACATATACCCTGTATCTCCTACGAGTGGTTTAGTACTATTTAATAAGTCAAGATGTGCAGTGGAATAAGTTTCATCAACCATGTCTTTTTCAAATGTAGAAACGAGATCTCCTTTTGAGGTAATCTGTGGCGCTTGATCGCCTATTACTGTCTGCACGGCAAATGAACAACGAGGGTGGTCATGAAAGTCGGGAAAATTGTGAGCATAGCACCTGAAAAGTATTTATAGTGAGATATTATGCATGAAAACGTATAATTCTCGACATTTCAATCCAAACTAAATTTAAGACCTAATCATTAAATAGTTACCATAAACACAGATCGAAACTTTGATAGTCATATCCATCCGAAGGTCGTTCGCAGTATGTGCAATAAACTCTGTTTGCCCAGATAATAAAGTTTCAGATGAACGAAAATGAATGAAGGAAAAAAATTAAAAAAAAAAAATACACGATTTACCTGAACTGCTTGATAACGATGTTACATTGGTTACAGTAAATACACCATTGTTTCAAGTCTATAAAAAGGCACGTCATAGCCGTACGCCATCGGTGACTCATTAGCAAGATCGACGACAGTTAACGAATACTCAACAAAGAACGGATGAAGACCAATGAGACCCCGTAAGGAAGAAATAAAAGACAAAGAATTTCGGAAAGCCACAAAGCTAACGGCTCAAAAAAGAAAGACAGTTTTACCAAACAATATGACATATTACTCTAGTGTTAACCAAAAATTAAATAGACAGATACATTTACACACATTTAGTTCGTCCAGTGCTATATTTAATTCCATCTTTCACGTATTCCCAATCCTCTTCTTGAGTAGCCTTTGTTTTGCCAACGTTCTTCTTCCTGTCGCATTCATCGTCATCGGGCCCCTCTCCCGGCTCGTATCCGCCCTTCAATCGTTCACTGTTCATATCGATCCATTCATCATAAATGTTTGGGAGATCATCATAGTGTATCAACACACGATATCCCTTTGCTTGTATAACCTGACCGAAATGCCATTCTCTCCATTTATCGCGGGCTTCCACCTTGGCACCAGGACGAAACCGAGCTTTAAGTTCCGCTTGATTCGTAAAACTGTCTTCGTCGTATCTGAAAGGAGCTTTATTTTTATGACCACGTTTACGCGGACTGCGTCTAAGATAGAGTTCACGCCAATCGAAACTATCATCAGTAGAGCTAGGGGTCAGAGGAGCCGGAAGGGATGTCTGGTCATCACTGCCAGTTGACTGTGCTTCCGGTGTTGTGATGAGCTGAAGATCTGTTGTCGAATCTATCTCAACCTCAGATTCAGTCTCTGTTTCTACAGTCTTATGCGCTGGAACGTCATTGGATGACTGTTGGAGTCCGAGAAGTTCTTCCAGCGTTACGTCTCGCATTCTTCGACTATTTGTTGGTATCCATTCATCGTAGCTCTCGTCCCATCCATCAAAGCGCACTCTAAAACGGTCCTGCTTATACTCCATAACTACTCCTGGATACCACTTGTTATCGCGGCAGAGCACTTTAACGCGTTTAAATTGATCAAATCTGGATTGACCAGCACATCTAGATCGTCTTATACCAATGTTATCGTAAAACACACCACGGCAGTATGAGCATAAAGAGAGGTCATAGACTTGAAGAACATCAAGGTGTATTGCGTGACAACTATCACATAGTTTCTTCTCTGCTGAAGTCGACGCTTGTTCGGGGATAGCATTAACCTGAGCACTATATTCGAGTTTAGGCCTTCCAGTACGAATTCGTTTAGAAAGTCTCTTTGGCGTTGACGCTAAACCATTGACGCGTTTGTCTGCTCCCTGATTGTTTGAATAGGATTTATCACCACGAACACGTTTTCCTCGCCGAGGCTGAGACGTCCGATCATCTGTGCCAGTCGACTGTACCTCTGTTGTTGGGGTGAGCTCACGATCTGTCGAGTCTATCTCAATGTCAGATACAGGGTTGATTTCTGCAGCCTTGGGCGGGGAAACATCATCGGATGACTGTTGGTCTCCGAAAAATTCTTCTAATGTTACGTCTTTCATTCTTCGGCTATTTGTCGGTATCCATTCATCATAGATCTCATCCCATCCTTCAAAATGCACTTTAAACCGTTCCTGCTTATACTCCATCACTACTCCTGGGTACCACTTCCTATCGCGACAGAGTACTTTAACGCGTTTAAATTGATCAAATCTGGATTGACCACCACATCTAGATCGTCTTATACCGATGTTATCGTAAAATACACCACGGCAATATGAGCATAAAGAAAGATCATAAACTTGAATAACATCGAGATGAACTGTGCGACAACTATCGCAATGCTTCTTTTCTGCTAAAGGCGATGCTTGTTCAGAGCCAGCATTAGCTTGAGCAAGTTTACGCCTTCCAGTACGAATTCGTTTAGAACGCCGTTTTGAAGTTGATTCCAAAGCATTTACGCGGTGGATGACACGTGCGCTTGTTCTCCGATTGTTTGAATAGGATTTATCCCCACGAACACGTTTTCCTCGCCGAGGCTGACGGACGATTGTATCATTGGTTGGCGCCGATACTTTAGGGCTTAACGTGACGGTTTCAAAAGTTTCCGCCGCCAAACTTTCTAGACCACTCGAACTGAGAGTTTCCAAAGAACTCAGACTCGATAAATCTGAATCTGAATCAAAGTCTAGGGTCGAATTAATAGTTTGATCATGAAGGAAATTCTGTTTAATATTTTCGTTCTTCTTTGATTCTGTAGACGCAAGCAAACTAAGAGAGTGTTCTGTAAGTGGCATGGCTTCTTTAAAATGGCCATTAGTCTCAATATTGTTGGTTGCTGTTATGGGATGCTCAACGTCCTCACGAGCCACAGCTCCGTCGTCGACGACGGTCGATTCGATTGGCTGGCTCATATCCGAGTCGAACCAATTCAACGCTAGAACGTTTAAGGTAATCTGGAGATTCTCAATCAACTTCTATCGCGAGGAAACTTTATTCACATTCTTTATGAATATTCATTCATGTGATTGATTTGCACTTTTGACCAGTGAACGATAGCTTTTTTGCTGTTACACCATATAACGCTTTCGGACTAAATCTTATTCACTATTACTATTAATATTAATATTAACTCAGCGAACATGTTCTCGTGATCCACAAATGCATATGATCGGAAGACTATTACAGTATGTTGGGGCGTGCTGCAGACGAATATTTCTTCGCACGCAGCACGTGTTCATATTTCTGTTATTTACGTTGGCCGAGGTTCTTTGGGCCATAAATGGAACGTCTATAATAACAGCGTTCCGAACTACATAAATAACGTTTTGTCGGTGGGGTCGTTCGAGCGACGACGTCATCAATTAGCTCTATATCTTGGAATTGTATTTGTCTAAAGAATAACCGAAGTTTACGGAGCATACGACGGCATCGCACAAGATCCAATAACAGGAAAAGAAAACAAACTTTATAGTCTTCCCTTCTCTCTGTCGGTTATGCCTGGTTATTATAATTGTAATTTACGTTATATTAATGTCGCACGGAGATTGTACGCCTTAAACCGCTTCGCGGACAGCAGGCAGGAACAAAACTAAAACGCTAACGGGTGTCGACATATCAGGGCCTCTCCATCATCTCCACTTCACCGCGACTGTACGTATCACCTGACGTCAACCAGCTATCATAAAATAATTCCTTTATATTTATTAGCGAAAGAATATTTCTTTATCTTTTATCAACTGTTGTTTGTCTCCAATTGTTAGTCGGGTTTGTTTGGCTTACTTACGTAGTTACACTCAGCAAACTTCATCGTCTATATTAGGTCCTTTTCTCTCAGTCTCTAATAAACCGCTTTGTTAGTCGAATAATTTATTTCAAATTCCCTGGCCAGGTAATCATATACTGGTAGAATCTGTGATCTTGTTCGGGAGGATTGTAACTAATTACTACTATTTTCTGCATGATCTCCGGAGAGAATCAAGGCTCCATCAAGCAATGCCCGGAGAAAGATTCACCGAGCGCCATTTTCATCTCGACCCATTACAGTTCCGCAATTTTGGCATTTGTACATCTCGGACCCTCCTATTTTTTGAATGTTCCCACCCCTAGTTCTTCTGCCTTAGCCACAAGACGTTGGCGACATTGATAGTGGCCCCAACAGAGCATTTTACGAACGGCTTTGCGTGATATCTTTCGTGTTTTTCGGTTTACCATATTTGATACCTCAAAAGGAGGAATAATGATGACAACAAATTTGCGAGTGAAAATTGCGACGCTCTTCGCTTTGTAGGCGTTTGATTCTTCGTCGCATTCAAAAGATTGCCGTATCGAGTCGCAAGGCCTGCTTCTTCCTACGCTTTGAACTAGAGGCCGCCAGTTTGTCCTTGGTCGACGTAGATTATCCATGTGTTGACACAGACGAATAATTCGTCCAATGTAGTATTGGCCAATTTTGCCTACACCTTTGGTTGGAGAGTGGGGTTCTCGTCGGGTGACTCTTCTTCCTTGCTTGACTGCAGGAATATCTTGGGAAAGTTCGTGCTCATCGGAAGTCGCATTGTTGACGAGAACCATGAGTTTTGTAGTATGTGGGGAGTGGATGAAGTCGCGGCACAATAGGTAACCACAATTTCTGAGACCATGCCGCGACTTTTTCGTTCCAATAAGGTCTTACGTTTGTACGAAGAGTTCTTTGGGAGAGCTGAAGGCCTCTTTTCGCTTGCATCTTTTTGTGGTATTGTCGGTAGTGGTGGCGGTGGTGTTAGCATAGGAACGAGTTTATGAGTTTACGATTTTGAATAATAAATGAGCTGTGGGGAATATGTCTTTAAATATGTTTATGGTTGTCAGTATTCGAATGGCGGAACCGAAAACGCATACAATGGCGAAACACATACAATCTCATATTGAAAGACGGAAACGCATACAATGGCGAAACATACAATCTCATTTTGAAAGGCGAAACCGCATACAATGGCGAAACACATACAATCTCATATTGAAAGGCGGAAACGCATACAATGGCGAATCTTATATAGTGCCAGTCACTGTGGTTGCATTGAATAAAGCTATTGTCTACGAAAACTTTTCTGAAGCTTTGACAATTGACAACAAAAACCCAATGGCAGCAAAAAGAAAAATCTGACGAGTAATAGAAGAAGCTGAAATAAAGACTTCCATGTCTCATTGTCTGATGTTCGAAAATAGTAAATAGAAGATGCCTTTTCTTGTTCCCAAATCACTGCTGCAACAAATTATTCTTGTTTCCTTATATAGACCAAAAACAAAAGCTTATTATAGATCCATAATTTATTGTTTTTCCGATAATGGTTACTGGCTTAAACAGGAACCATTTTGGTAAGTCTACTGAAATACTACATTACACACCTAATAAGGGAGACAAGGCTACCACCATAACATACTCACCGACAATCAAAATGTTTACCAACATTATTTCGAAACTATCCTTTTTAGGTAATTAATTGTCGGCGAAATGAACTGTTGCGGCGAAATGATTGTCGATGAAATGATACGGACCCTTCCCGAATCATCTCTAAACATAACGAAGAGAGAATATCAATATGGATTCGAAGTATTTAATAGAGTTTTTGGAAGACGGCGACGAGATGACGATGACAGGAACGACGGAGAAAAGGAAGAAACTTTAGGACTAGCTATAGTTTCATCACATGTTTGGATTTGTTGGACGAGTTATTGTTTACGACTTGTGTTAAATACCAGACGACTAAGAAAAATACTGCATTTGAAAAATTGATTGAAGACATTTCTTTTCGGTCACGGAACTTGATTTGATCGATAATCCGTAAACTCGTAAATATTGGTGATTCAAGCTGCCTTGAAACACGTGTTTTAGCAGCATTCTCCAAAGCGGGCAATGGTAAAGAATTTGTTGCAGAATGATCAAAAACGCCTGTATGTGCTCCGGAGCTGCTCCACTCCGGAGGGCCAACCTGGAACGTCTATACCGGAGTGTCAACCTGGAGTGCTCCACTCCGGAGGGGCCAACCTGGAGCATTTACACCGAAGTGTCAACCTGGAGTACTCCACTCCGGAGTGTCAGCCTGGAGTACTCCACTGGAGCACAACCAGAATTCAACCCATTCCGCTCCATTAACAACGTAGGATTCTTCTGATCCACATTCGATAGTTTCCTTAATCCCTGCATGTAACGTTCTTAACGATAAAATCATGCACGAGGCCGTTCTCGACATTCAGGGTGCAAGGACAAATAGTGAATGATCGGGCTTCACAATGTCGTGGAATAGTCATAACCAATAACAAAGAGAAGATTTGATCGATGATCGTGCCATAGCTTGTTACGTTATGCGCCAACTTTCATTGCATAGCATCACCAGTCTAAGAAGAAGAAGAACAAATTTATTCCGTGGACAAAATTCACGTAATTGAAATCTGATCCAACATATTGACGCGTCCAACACGAGACAGCAAAAAGTTGATTCTGTTGCTTCCTCGTAATGTTTATTATTTTGAAGAGGCCGCAAGAAACAGTGTGAATGTATATCTCTTTCTAAATTAATATGCGTGTACTTTTTACTGAGTTTTTGGTTTGTTGCGGGTATCGTTCCAAGTCTTCATCGCATTGTTGACACCCATTATCTATCATATAATATACAAATATTCAAGACTTTGACGTGCAAATAAACGCATACAACAAAATTTGTAATAGCTTACTGTATA